TAACTCGAGACTATTTGAGTTAAGGAAGTTCAACCATATATGGAACCAAGTAGTGCCCAAACAAAAATGGCTAGTGCTTATAAATCAAATTTAGGATATAATAATCTTTTTTCATAAAAGTCATGGAAATTATGAGGTGTGCTCAATTGAGTACACTGCTCAAGCAGTGCCTGTTTTAAGCATATTCTGTACATTCTCAGTGAACTCTGGCATGACAACATGCAACACAGTGCAATTTTTTCGAACTTAATACGAAAGTGACTCATACGATCTTGAGCCAAACCATCAACCGTAGATAATGATGGTGTTTCAGTTGCGGAAAACCCCCGTTTTCGTAAATCCCTTCAAAGGCCGTAACTTGTAAAAAAAATTATCGAAAAACACTTGAACATTGGCGGGATTTTTTTTTAAGTTTGTCACCGTCTATTGGTTTTCCACTATAAAAGTAGATAGTATATCGTACTGGTTTTTTTGCAGGGTGTGTCTAAAACATTTCCCCAATGATTCATCAATACAAATTTTATCATAACACAATCCCCATTGCGATATTTTCGCGAAATCTGTTTCTCGATATAGCGTTAGAAACTATAGGAGTACCAGCATGTGTAAGTTTATGATATCCAGAAGATATCAATCTGGCTATGAACTTTTTCATATCTAAAGCGTCTTGCATATAGTACAATATAGTGTTCTATTAAATAATTATAATAAAATCTTTCACTTCTTCATCAAATATTTTTTCAAACATCTATTTGTACTGGATTGAGTTCTCAAGGTAGGTTTATGGCTGATCGACGATCGCACGTGGACTGGTATATGTGTATGACATCTGGTAAGATTCCCAACCATACAGCATGAACGCCAATAGAGCAATGGCTTATTAAAACTCCCACAACTAGGGAGAGTCTAGCCTCACTGAGTGCAAAAAGATCACTAGATCTCCTACGATCAATCGTGGGCCAAAAGGCTTTACAATCCGATATGAAGTCAAAGTGTGTGAGGATATCCGAATGTCCAGACACACGTTCTTTTAAGAACCCAGAACATAAAGACTCCATTGAACATAATGTTCTTAACTACGGTGTCATGGAGCCAGAGAACCACTTTCGTTGCGAGACCGATCTCTTAGATTTTTTTTACAAGATCTTGGAAGGAATCACTTTAGAATTATTCGACCAACTTGAATAATATAATGGCCAGCGCTTACGCCAAACGGAAGCTATTTTACGCTGTTTATTGCGGGAACGTTTTGCGACCAATGGCTCATTATCAATAAGCATCATCGGTTACTATCTTGCCATATAGTGTCTTCTCAAGCCTTTCAAATCTATTGATATTGTTAAAATATTTTCTATTAATTTTTACGAATCTGTAGTGTAAAATAATTTTCAATAATTATTATAACATGTACATATGTATTTGTCCACGGTACCCAACCGAGTACAGCGAGATATAATTCGAAATTATGCTTTCAATATAAACAATATCTAACTCAATCGTTATTATTTTATAAAACTATGCATATATTTTATTATTATTAATGCAATGATTTATGTATGTTCTACGAATAAAAGAGATATATAACACTTTTTGCGGTGCAGGAATTACTTATTTGGAAATAAGTTAATGACACGTTATTTATCAAAAATATTAAAAATTAAAAACAAAACACATTCATCTATAGACAAAATCATTTGAAAGTTAGTGAGCTTTACAAAATGAGCTCGAAATATATAAGGCTGAGATGCGATGAAAAAATGATATTTTTCACTTTTTTTAATTTAATTTCTTTTACACTATAATTGAAATTAGTGTTTAATTTTATTTTTTAATTGAAACACGCGGTATTACTTTAAAAACAATAAAATCGGCCGCTTTTCTATAAGCACAGAAAACCAAGTTAGTGTATTACTCATTAAACGTAATAAATTAATAACTATAATTATAATTAGATAATATAATTTAGTTTACTTCTGCTTACTAAAAACTTCACAAAAACAAAAGTGAAGAAAATCTCGAACGAACCTAAAATACTTAAAAAAATTAAGAAAGTACAGTGGTAAGTTTGCGTGGCCACGAGTGTACATATATGTACATTAGAGCGGGTCGATTTTTATATATGGGTTCAAAACCGATTTCATGCCAGCGATTTTTTAAGTGAGTTTTAATTTTTCGATATTATAAACAAATCTTCGTCAATTTTTGAGATATCATGTCTCCCAAAATAATGCAAGAAAATATATGAGTATTTTTCCAATGGCAGTTTCCTCAATGTCTGGTTAGCCATCCTTCAGTTAAGTTCTGGTTAAACAAAAAGATTCTTTGCCGAAAGGAGAAGAAGCTTAACTGGCAGATGGCTACTGACCAGAAAATTACCCTAAGTGTTGCTTAAAGGAATTGTGATGGTTGAAATCGGACTACAATCACACCTACTTCCAATATAACAAAAAATTTAAATTCCACGAATGAATGTATCAGAGTAAAGCTACGCACGAATTTTGCCTAATTGGACATTCCAAGTGTAGCCATGTCCTTCTCCACCTAGTTTTTCCAACGAAATGGTGGTATTCCTCTTCCTCTGATTTCCCCGGCGGGTACTGCGTCGAATACTTTCTAAGCTGGAGTGTTTTCGTCCATTCGGACAACATGACCTAGCGAGCGTAGTCGGTGTCTCTTAATTTGCTGAACTAGCCGTTATCGTTCATGCCTCTGTACCATATAGCAATACGGGGATAATGAGTGACGTGTAGAGTATGGCCTTTGTTTATCGATACGACCAGAAAGATATCTGATAATAATATGTCTGTGTACATAAAATGGGATGAATCGGATCAATAATAATTCCCTTACTCCCCATATACCAAATAGAGAAATGTACGACTTTTTTCTAAAAACGGTACGTCTTTGTGCCTAAAATAAATAATATAATAATATAATTTACACTTCCGGTTGGCTTTATACCGTACCGTATTTATCAGGCTAACACTTTTTCTGCCCTCAAAATAGCATATGTATATAAAGGTTTCCAACTTTCCACCTGACTTTACGAATTTTCAATTCATAATATAAAGAATTTCGATTTTTCATGTCAACTCAATATAAATAAAAAATTTAGCCACTTAGGTTGAGTTTATATCATACAGTTCTTGTTTAAGATTTTTTTTAATGTAATTTTCGTTGACACGATTTAAATATATTCATAAAACTTACTCAGTATAAGACCTTCCATATAAATTAATAAACTAATAAATGTTGAATTTTTCACAATATTTTTAATACGAAGTTTTACCAACAGCTGAAGGTATTTCCCCGTCTTTGATCCTTGCAAGTTTAAACAGTATAAAATGTTCGGATGCGCCCGAACTTAACCCTTCCTTACTTGTTTCATTTGTTAATGATATCTTCAAAAAAACTTGCATTGATTATTCCAAGGCAGCGCTATTATCTCCGAATATATTGTTCAGATCGCATTAAGATGTTTATGCTATAGTAGCTTTATGGCATAAAAGAAATGCATATGGGAATATGTATTTTTCTTATTTTTGATAGCGAGTACTTCATGAAATCTAAGTGTTTCGAATAATTACATTATTATCACAGCAAACTGACATTATCTCTCTTGTACTCTTTTGGGAAACCTAAAAGTGTTGTGTTTGAATATGGTATTGGAAGAATGATACACTACGTCCAGGTTTTTCTTCGCAAACACATTTGTAGGTTTTATTACTACATCTTAATATCCAAGGTATCAAAAATATGGTTATTTATAATTGCATCACTGGTCCATAATAATTACATAATTTGTAGCTTCATAATAAAATAATAGCATGCTTAACGTATTAAATTGGTTGGATAGTTGGGCAAACAGGTATGTCGAATTAATTTCATAGCGTATTTTTGTCATCGTTTTAGTGGTATATCTTCGAAACGAACAGCTTTCTCTTCTGCATATGTAAGAAAACTACTACCATACACTCGCATTAAATGCATTAATGTCTCCACATCAGCTTCAGCGCAATGCACATTTTTCGGTGTTTTCTTAAAAAATCGTTTATACATATTTTCCAATTTATAAACCCCTTTGGGTGGATATTTCTCAAGCTTAACATTTGCAAAGAGTGATCGTTTCGATTTAAAAGAACTATTTAAACTCTTTGAGATAGCGGAATGCGAGCGTTTTACACCTGTAACGATGGGTCGTCTAGGTGTTGTTTCGTTACGTGCTTGCCAGTCTATCTTTGTCTCAGCATCAAGTTGCTCTAAAAGTGTCGCTCTTGAATCCACAACAGTCTCTTTGACGTCGTCAGAATTAGATGTTACTACGGATTGCTCTTTATCATTGCAACATATACTGGATTCAGTTGTATCGGTAGGTGAAGAAGCGAATTGCAGTTGTTGATCCAAAACACGAAATGCAAGCAAAGAGTCGACACAGAGGATCTCGCATGGCAGGCTCTATAGAGGAATAAAAAAAAAAACTTTTAAATGTAGAAAGAAAAAAAAGGTAAAATTTTAATTTTCCGTACTAAATTTAACTTTTGGAACGTCTGTTTGACTATCGGAAAATCAAACGTATCACCATTGTGCGCGACCAAACATACTGGTTGTGGCATGTGCTTAAGGAAGTTTGTTATAATACCAGCGGCATTTTCATCGAAATGTGTTTCTTTTTCAAGACTATAATTACTTAATCCTGTAAGTAGTATACCGAAATATAATGAATAATATGTATACATTTATATTAAGGATATCTTAAACATTCTCCATACCAGTAATTTCCTCAGCCTTTGGGTGTATAAGTCGTCTTGGGTTGAATAGCATTGTAAGCTTATGCAAACGTCGTGGTCGTTCTAATGTTACATTGTCAATCTCTTCTAACTTTAGTGGCGCTGTTTCTAATTCACTAGTTGAAAAACCATACATGCATAATTCTGTAATAGCGATTTTCGAAAAATGATACGGCAAATCATTTGTTTCCAAATCAAGCACCACAAAAGATGCTATTCGACAGCCATCAGTGAGTTCTTTTTGTGTTGATGACATATGTAATTAATTTGATCTGTTAAAATATTAAAATTATATTCTTTGACTGGTGGTCACGAGCAGTGTTTGGTAGGTCCAATGCAGCCTTTTATGCGGTTATGCTGATGTTTTTGTTTATGCGGTTTAAATAGCCAAATATGCTCGATTATTTCAACATCGATTCTAACATTTTTACGTATCTTATCGGTGAATGAGAAATGTAAAGGAATAAGGCTTATTATAGATAAATTAAATTTATATTAATCTGAATTCAAAATTTTGCTTGTGAAATTAAGAAAGTATCAAATAAATATTGTTACAAATTAAAATATCAAAAGTGACAACCTCCTTTAATCGATAAAGATGTGTTTGTTATCGGAAGTGTTCGAGTTTTTCATATATTTGTGGATTTTCTTATTATTATCAGAACGTTTGATAGGATTTGTTTGTATTTTTATTTAATCTGGTATTTATTGAAGTATTTATTTACTTCATTATTTGTGGTAAAACTATAATTTAGTCCACTTGCGAATAGTCTCATTACTTTGTCCTTTTTAGAACACTTTAAAGGACAACTTGGGATTTTTATTAGACCAAATCATACACGGAGTTTAAAAAGAAACTCACATAATGGCACATAGCGAAACTAAATTTCAAAGTGATTATACATATACACAATTTAAAAACCAGATCTAAATTTAAAATAGAGTAATTTATACGTTTCAAGGTTTCAAGTGGACCAAAAACCCAACGTTGTTGCTTATTTCATTGATAAACAAAAAGTACCACCAATTAAAAAGTGGCGTAAAGAAATTTACTTTCCAACAAATTGCACAGGAGATTAACAATCGACTTGGGACATGTTTGGCTTATGACCAAGTTGAATCAAAATGGAAAGGGCTGAGGAGAACATACATAAAGATGAAAGATTCAGAAGAAAAATTGAGCTGGGAGTTTTATAACCAAATTCACGAAATTCTTAAAGATGACATGGAGATAAACCCTTCAGTTACTGCAAATTCTGATGATGTCTTTACAACGGGCTGTGAAACAGAGTTTGATTTCGTTGAATACACGATAGAGCCGGAGAGTTCAACTTTTCGACAAACCCGTAAAAGACATCATAGTGATAGTGATGACAAATATAGTAGTGCGGAGGATGTTAAAGCTGGAGTTCGTAATATCAGTCGGTTCAGTATTGAAAGCCGAAAAGATAAGGTAATTCGAAATAAATACGATAAAGAAGACAGCGACGCTAGGACGAGACCTAGAATTGCTGATCATCGGTATAAAAAAGAATACGGAAGTCGACGAATAAGTGATGATGATCGAAATTATTGCAAATGCAGAGGATATCAAAGATCTCATAGTTGCTGCGAAAGCGTAGAGGATGCTAGGGAAAGGCGACATCAAGAAAAGATGAAAATGGCCAAAAAGTTTCTATCAATTTTCGAAAAAATGGTAGAAAGAATGTAATATACATATGTATATCTATCAAAGTAATTACTTACTCTTTTTAATTAAAGTATAATTGAATACTATTTTTAAGTTAATTTTTATTCATATAATAAATTCATTAGTAAGTCTCTTTTACAAGTTACTTCTTCCGTTTCATACTTGTCTCTCTGCGATACATTTTCGTACTCATCAACTGGAAATTCTATGCCTTCTTCCAAAATATGGCTGTTTTTTAGACAGATATTATGCAAAATGCAACAAACGGCAATGAACTTTTTTATTGTAGAAGACGTTACGCTATCTATGTAGTGAAGCCGTTGAAATCGTTCTTTGAGTAGAACGAAGGAACGTTTAATGTCTCCGAGGCATTCGGAGTGTATTGTGTTGAAAAATGTTTGCCCATCGGCCAATTCGCCACCCTCATCTTCTTGATACGGGGTTATTAACCAAGTCCTTGACGGATAAGCGCATTCACCTAATAAATGCTGATCCTTAGTCATTTTATACGTTCCTACAATATATTTAAAATGTACATAATTAAGTTGTATTTGATATTTGAATAATAATAAAACCTGAGTTTATTTGGTACTCCAACCCAGATTTTTCCATTAATAAAGCATTATCCAAAGAACCACATTCGCCCACATAGTAATATAAAAATTCCATTTTTTCATTTGAGACTGCTTGTAGCGGAATAGAGTAAGTTCGATCTTTATTTTTATATGAATTCTTAGAAGTAACTGGTTCTCTAGTTTTTATATGACAACTGCCTATACATCCTATAACGCCTAAAAAAAATAACTCGTTTAATTCAAACCTATTATATGGTATAGAATACCTATGTATATATTTAAATGATTTTATAATCTACCTTGTAAATTGTAAATATCACAGTAATGCTTGGAAGTATTTTTAGCTTCTTTTTGATTTGGCCACTTAATTATATGTGTATCTTCATCCAATTTAAGTATTGCATTGCAAACGTTGGAAACAATTCTCCATGACGTTGATGTACAAACATCAAATTTGTCGGATATTGATCTGAAAAAGGTTAATATTTATATATAAAACTTGCAATTTTGTTCAACTCATTCGATATACCGTAATGCCTCGTTGTTCCCTAAATAACACAGAGTCATTAATATTTGTTTATCAAGCTTAATGGCATTTCGTCCCGGTCCATATTTTTTATACAAAAATGGATAAATATCTTTGCATATTATTTCAAACACTTCTGGCTCTACACAAAAGTGCTGCTTAAAGCTTTTATCGGCCATTTTCGGTACTATATGCTCCACAAAATTTTCATTCGTTTTCACTTGGCCATGGACCGTTACAGAATCCTCATTATTATTGCTAGGAACATGCTCCTCGGTACTGTGGTTAGTCAAATTAGCAACTGCATTACCAACATAGTTTTTACATTTTTTAAAATGTGTTTTAATCACTCTAATATCATTATCACTTTCTTCCTCCTCACTATCATTAAAAACTAAATCAAATACTTCTTTTAATAAAACGAGCTTTTCCATAACTAGCAAAATATAAACAAATTTTACTCTGAGAAAATCATCTACCAGAGAACGTATCTTGATTTCAGTGAACGTCTATTGTGTGGAATACAATGCCCGCTACAGACTGCAAACGACATCTGTCAAATATTAAAATACACACGTCCTTATGGACGCACCTATTTTGATAGCTGCACGACTACACGACGGCAGGCCGACAGTTGTCGTTCTCGCTAACTTCAATTTGATCCTATATATGCCAACGACAGTAGAGTTGACAGTAGAATGGAAGATAGAGAGATGAGGTAGGTGATGCCACTAATATGTAAAATTACTCAAAGCTCTAACAAAACTGACGTTTACAAATAAAAGCGTAAAATAGCTCTGTTACATCATTTATAATAACAATTGATAATTTAAAACAAATAAATTTACCTATTTAAAAATTTTTTGCTTCAAAATTTCACTTTGAACAAAATATTAAAATTTCATTGAAGTGCGAGGTATTAGTATGGCCACAACGAAATTGTGTACTTCCAAATGAACAACTGAGTTGTTTTGTGTACATGCCGGCCATTCTTATGTTGCTGCCCTCTCCCAAACGTTCTTGTAGTAGGATTCACTACGCCTTTTTCAGTTCATTGTCGTGCTGCTGCAGTCTGTCGCCAGCATTGTGTTCCTCATATCTATCTTCCATTCTACTGTCAACTCTACTGTCGTTGGCAAATATAGGATTGAATTGAAGTTAGCGCGAACGACAACTGTCGGCCTGCAGTCGTGTAGTCGTGCAGCTATCAAAATAGGTCCGTCCATAAGAACGTGTGTATTTTAATATTTGACAGATGTCGTTTGTAGTCTGTCGCGAGCATTGTATTCAACACATGATAGGCGTTCTCTGACAATATTATACGTTTTCTGCTACTACTGTCAAATTGTCAATAATGAATTCGCCGCAAAATCCGAAAACAACAGAGTATGCAAATGCTACCAAAACATTAAATGTCTTCTGTCAATTAAATTTAAAAATTTTGTTCGTTCCCAAAGTGAATTAAGGCGAAACAAGTTTGTGTGTTTGATACATAAATGTAAATTTTATGTAAAAGTCGAGAGTTTAATCATCGAAGCAATGCCGAGCGAGATAATTACATTACAATTGGGCCAATGCGGCAATCAAAGTGTGTATCGGATATGTATATGTTAAAACTGCTCCTGGTTCTGGCGCAATTATACTTATATTACTATAAACAAATGTATGTTTCTTCATGTGTCATAATTTTTATGTCGTTTACCTGTAGTTGGTTTTGAGTTTTGGAAGCGTCTATGCCTCGAACACGGCATATCACCAAGTGGTGTGTTAGAAGATTTTGCTACCGATGGTGTAGATCGCAAAGATGTTTTCTTCTACCAGGCGGATGATGATCACTATATACCCCGGGCTGTATTATTAGATTTGGAACCACGCGTCATTCATTCTATAATGAGTTCACCATACGCAAAGGTTTCGCTATATATTTTTCTAAAAGCTCGCACAATTGTTTACAACGTATTACATTAATTTTAGCTTTATAATCCGGAGAATGTTTATTTATCGAAGCATGGCGGTGGCGCTGGCAATAACTGGGCTTCCGGTTATAGTCAAGGTGAAAAGCTGCAAGAGGAGGTTTTTGATATCATCGATCGGGAAGCAGATGGTAGCGATTCTTTGGAGGGTTTTGTGCTCTGTCATTCAATAGCTGGTGGTACGGGTTCCGGTATGGGCTCTTACATTATGGAGCGTTTATCAGATCGTTTTCCAAAAAAGCTGATACAAACATACAGTGTTTTTCCAAATCAGGACGAGATCAGTGATGTTGTCGTACAGCCATATAACTCGTTGTTAACACTGCGTAGGCTAACTAGCTGTGCGGATTGTGTTGTAGTGCTCGATAATACGGCACTAAATCGTATTGCTACTGATCGATTACATATACAAAATCCTAGCTTCACACAAATTAACACTTTAGTTTCGACCATAATGTCTGTCAGCACCACAACACTGCGTTATCCTTCCTATATGAATAATAATCTGATTGGTTTGACAGCACCTTTGATACCAACACCCCAATTGCATTTCTTAATGACAGGATATACGCCATTGACGACAGATAATGATGTAAGGCTATAATATAAATGTAATGAAAACATAAAATAATGAAAATGTTTTTCAGCAAACGGTTAATGTGCGTAAAACGACAGTATTGGATGTTATGCGTCGCTTATTACAACCAAAAAATATGATGGTATCCACGGGACCTGACAAAACAAACCATCATTGTTATATTTCCATTTTGAATATAATACAAGTAAGTTACTAATTTACATGTGGGTAAAACAATTTTAGTCGAATTGGTTAATTATAATTTGTATTGGCGTTTTTAGGGAGAAGTTGACCCTACTCAGGTGCATAAGTCACTACAACGTATTCGAGAGCGCAAATTAGCACAGTTCATTCCTTGGGGACCTGCGAGCATACAAGTAGCGCTATCACGTTCATCACCTTACGTACAGAGTAGTCATCGCGTTTCAGGCCTGATGCTTGCTAACCATACCAGTATTTGTTCGCTTTTTGAACGTGCGCTTGGACAATATGATAAACTTAAAAAGCGTGGTGCCTTTCTTGATCAATTTAGACGTGAAGATATATTCAAGGATGATTTGTCTGAATTAGATGATTCACGCGATGTTGTTGATTGTTTGGTACAGGAATATGAAGCTGCCACTCAGTCAAATTACTTGCAGTGGTCGGCGAAGAAAGGTCAAGAGGAAGCCCATTAATTTTGTAGTAGGGGGAAAAGTCATATATGCATATCTAAATATGTAATAGAAATATATACACTATTCTGCCTCATGTTGCCATAAAAAGTTTTCGAGACAAGAGCAAAGAATTTAATTTATTCCTTTCACATTCATTTTTACTAATTACATTGCACTCTTTGAGTTCATTTTTATATATTTGTGTCTCATTCTGAGTGTACTCACTAATACATTTCTAAAATGTAGTTATATAAATATAAAATGCAACATTATTAAATTACTGCATAGATAAGTAATGTTTCTCACGTTTAATTTAATGTATTCAAAGAATTCTTGAAATCAAGTTCATCTAAAAATTCAGTTTTCGTTAATATGTAATTGCGCACTAATTGAGTCTTTTAACTATTTTCTGACAATATTTGATCGTTTTATTTTATGGTTGTGTGTTTTACTAAATGTCAATCGAAAATGTATATGTTCTTTTTGCCAGTAATAAAAATGTTCTGTAAAAATTTTTGTTCAATTGTATTTAATTTTCGGGCCGATATCTTAAAAAAGTGATGAAACTAGTTCGCATACATATGTATATATATTGAGATAGACGGACAGGCATGGCTTGACTCACCTGTTATGCTGGTAATTTATATAAAAATTTTATTGAGTCTTCCGGGTGTTACAAACTTTG